GGCCGATTGAACTGAAACTTTGTAGGAATGATTGACTCATGGTCCTGACAAAGTGTTGTTATTTTTCGGGTCAATCAGAAATACAATTTGGCTGCCATGGCCGCTATTTTGCTACTAAGTTCTAATAGGCAGATCTCACTTAAAATTGGTCTAGGAATGATCAGCTCATGGTCCTGACAAAGTTAAGTTCACATTATACTATTTTTTACTCAAATTGGTACATATTTCAACAACAAAAATAAATACTGTAGACTCAGGTGACCGTTTAGGCCCATGGGCCTCTTGTTTTATTTCATTCTGATACTTGTTTTCAGGCAGGTAAACAAGCAACTAAAACAGTTTAAGCAGGAGAAGCGTCTAAAGGACTCTGATGGAGGTAAAGCCAACATGAGGGACGTATCACAAATGATTAAGAAGATGCCCCAGTACCAAAAGGAACTTAGCAAATACTCCACCCACCTACACCTGGCTGAGGACTGTATGAGGATCTACCAGAAACATGTAGACAAGCTCTGTAAGGTGGAACAGGTACAATGCACTTCTACATTAACACATCTTCATGGCTAGAGATCTATTTGTTAAAAACTACTCAAATGACCTCAGTCTGAATGGAACAAATTTGATAATGTTTTTTTCTCCTCTGCTTCTGTTCTATCAATTTTTAGGACACTGCTTTCTGAAAACATGAAATACTAATATACAAACAAAATAGAAATATCAATTGAAAACAAATAAAATATACACTAACGCAAAAATAAAAGAAATATGAGATGTGTCCCTTTCCTGTGTTAAATCTCCATGAATCTGTAATAAATATACATGTATATGAAATTCTGTTACTGTTTTATGAGATAGAAAAAAACCAAGATTTAAATCATTGAATTTGCTCAAATATTTTGCTAGTATTCCAATGAAAAAAATATGCTATATTTCAGCTAATGTCCCTTTCAGGCAGTTGTCCAGTTAAATTGTACATGCTTTATATAACATTGTTTGACAGTTATTGGTGGCCCTATGTATTTTGGCCATGTGTAAAACCTCCTCTGTATTTTGTTACAGGACCTGGCCATGGGTACAGATGCTGAGGGAGAAAAGATCAAAGACCACATGAGGAATATTGTGCCAATTCTGCTGGACCAGAACATTGCTGCATATGACAAGATCCGCATTATCCTTCTCTACATCATCCACAAAGGAGGTATGTTAACTTTATGCTCAGCACAAGTACCGTATCAAAGAAAACGATTGTTAACGTTTTGTGTTAAGGAATTTTTATTGGTTTTGATAAGGAACAGTTCTTGCTGAGCTGTATGCATATTCTATTATGTATAGATCACACATATGTTAGCAATTTGTAGAATGTATTTATACGTCTACTTTCACAGGTGGATATCTGTAACATGTAACTGAAAAAAATATTTCTGTTTCATTCATGTACATTGACAATAAGCTGGAGCAGACTCAGGATAGCATGTATACTTGTCTATTTACAAACTATTGGGTTTGGCAGAGGGGTAGGGGTGAGCTCATGATTTTACAACTTGTCCAGCGAAAGGGAGTATGCCTGAGCACAGTGGACTTTGACAAATAAATGAGGCACATCAAATTAAAGTTAAAGTTAGGATACTTTCCACTGAGATCTTTACAAAAAATTTCAAGTGCAACTGTTCATCCTGGGTAAAATAGTTTTTGAAATCCGAAAAAACTTCATTAGAGAATTGACTATATAAATTCCTTGTCAAAACCAAGATTTAAATAAGATTCTTATGGTGAATTTTAAAATTGTGTTATGGCTACAGGTGATGCGGAAAATATGGTAGAAATTTGTATGGTCAAATTTGATTTCTTTATTTCAGAACATAACTGGGAGGGGATGGTTTCTCATTAAAATTATTCAACCAGTTTGTATGTCTGAATATTGAGCCAATGTAAGTTTTATTCAGTGAGTTGGCCACTAGTTTTGGAGTGATTCAGTATTGTTTGAGCTGTATCAGTATGTGGCTTCTGTATATATTTATAGGAATCTCTGAGGAAAACTTGGCAAAGCTTGGACAACATGCCCAGATCCCACCAGAGGAGACCTGCATCATCACCAACACACAACACCTTGGAGTCCCCATCATACAGGATGTAAGTGTTTCCTAGACAACTGGTACACATCAACATGACAACAGTTAGAAGTTTCCTTGGCAACCAGTTACTGCAGTGATCATTACAATGGTTTCTAGGTTTATGTTTTACGCTGACTTGGTAGGATCAAAATCATGGTGTATTTTGGTGTCATGTTGGCAATTGAACAAGTTCTTTTCTCATTTCATTGGTTGTGGTTTCATACCTATGACCTAAGTAGTGGCCTTGCTGGAAGAACTAAGAAAAATGACATGTATATTGATAAAAATCATAACACTTATTTAATATTTGTTTATAATTAATATAGGGCATAAAGTGTGTTGACATGAACACACTTTTTGTTGGTGTTCAACAATAGTATACTTAGTATGCTGATATGGACACACATTCTGATGAGTGTTCAGCTAAAGGGCACTTAACATGCTGACACAAATACACATTCTTATAACATGTAATTTCTTGTACATGTACAAACTTTTAATTTGTAATTTCTGTGCAACAATGTGTTTCGATGCATGTTGGTCAGCTATACATTGGGATTTTCGATAGTGTATACAGTCATCAGTATCATTAAAACAAAATATCCTAGGTTCTATCAGTGGATCTAGATCGCTCATAGGTAAAAGGTCAATTTTGAGGAAAACCTACTATTCTACTAACCCAAAGTGTTGGTGGTGTGTTTTTAAAGTAAAGCTACTGATTAATGCTTCTTAGCAATTGTTATTTGATAAAGGCCATGTTTCAGAAGTCTTTTTAATTTCTTATTATAAAATATTAGCACCAATTTTGCTGAGAATTTAACGGGAGGGCTATATTGTAGACTTCTCATCTCTCGATATGTTTTGTAAATGTTTGGTCTCCTTGTGATTTGCACCCACATTCACAGAAATGTACTGTGTTACACTGCTTTAGATGTCATTCAGTTTAAATGTTCAGAAGTTTTACAATCATATTGCATTGTTGAAAATTGGAGATTTGAATTTTTTATGATGGGCCTAAACCGCAAAAGTTTCAAACATATAATCGAATATGATTATGTCCTGATTTTGATGTTTATTCCTGAAAATGATTGCATTTTATGTGATTTTACATATACATTTATATTATTAAGTTTGATTTTCTCTTATAGTGGAATGTACACTTATACATTTAAAGGTTTGGGGAGTCAGTTGTTTTACATATTTATTTACATACACCTACTATTTTTTTTACATAATCCACTACATTGTGTATATGTTTTGTACATTTATATGTGTTCAGTCTTGCTCTCTTCTATGTGAGATTCCAGATTTGTAAGGAAACTCTGATTTATTAATGATTGGATGTCGGACGTGGGATACATTTCTTGATTTACTTTCTTGATCCTTTAATAATTTTGCATGCAACAGGCAGCTGGTACCAAGTCCTTTAGTGTTGGACTGCTAGAAGATGCTAGCTATGGCACTTTTCAGTCCATAGCACAGGTGAGACTATCTGCCTCTCTATCGGGAGCTGCTATTGGTCTATTTAATTTATGACACATCTTGGTAAATGGTGATACAGCCAAAACCAAGTCTGTTTCTTCGTTTTTTTTCAATCTATACCTTCTTGTCTGTTTTTTATCTTCACATTAATTTTTTTAAATTACGTTTGGTAAGATGTAGCAGAGATGAGATTTGCTGGTATCAGGTTCTTGATATTCCAAAAAGGAAAAGAATGGTTCTGCAAAATTGCTACATCACTTTAATACACTAAATCCTGCTAAGTTATCAGCTATTAAAAGGTAAAAGGAATTTAAAGAAGAAACTAAGGTGCACACTATTTTTGCAGATCATATTTAACTGTTTTTTAGAAACTGACTGGTTGTATCAACTTTCTACAGTTAGTATTTAAATGTGTTTGAATTTTGGCTGCTTCGCATGTAGCCAATAGCACTAGTTTTAATTTTAGCTATAGCTGTAACACCCGTATTCCTAGACACACTACTAATATGACCTAGACATCTTGCCTGGTGTTATTATTATGACCTACAATTGAGAAGTGTACATTCATTTCAAGATGAAATTTATATTTATTTACCACTTTTACTAATTAATGTGACAGATTTTCTTCAGTTCATATGGGATGATCCCTAGCTGGTCACTTTCTTAAACCGGTAAACATTATCACTGAAAGTTGGCCATGGCAACTCTATTGTGAGGTAATGGCCGACTACACCGATTTTAATATTAAAATAATGTGTGATCTGAGTTTATAATATGTTGTTAAAAAAATGTACATCAATTATTCAACTTTTTACTTGCATTTTTAAAGCTGTAAATTCAGGTTGTGTACGACATAGGCTGGGTAGAGTGTTGAGAAAGGGCTGTATATAGAAGGATTGTATATTGTTATAATTTCACCAAGGATCTTATATAGAAGGTAAAGCGTTGAGAAAGGGCTGTATATAGAAGGATTGTATATTGTAATAGTTTCACCAAGGATCTTATATAGAAGTAAAGGGTAGGGTGAAGTTTTAGATAGGTTTTAATTAATATTACTCTTGAGGAACCCTGTTATTTGATCCCACTAGATGATATAGACATGAGTTTAGACTTGTCATAAGTACTTGATTGTCCAATGTTTCCAGAATGTTTCCTGATTGAATCATCAAGAGTTCATGGTCTTAATTATTCAAAAATTAATGCCGGTATTACAAGTCAATTAAGACTGTTAAGTACTGTTGTTATATATGTGTCGATGAACATCATTATGTGTTGGTATTACTGTAAAATCTGTTTAATCTGACACCTGAGTATACCAACACCCTGTCTAATCCTCCATAATACTGTAAACCCTTTTTTAGCTCACCTGGCATGAAGTGCCAAGTGAGCTTATGCCGTGGCGCGGCGTCCATCCTCGTCCGTCAACTTTTCCTTTAAACAACTTCTTCTGAAGAAATNAACTTTGTGACATCCTGTCCAATCTGACTAATATTGTGTCCCCACAGGATGTCAGATTAGATAGGTTTCACTATATATGTCAAAAAGACAATAACATGTACATGCCAGTATTATATATGTCAATGACGACTATAAGTACATGTATATGTCGGTGAAGTACATTATTTGCAATTCTGATAATGTCAGTAAATATCACAAAGCGCTGGTATTGTCTAGAACTAGATATCATTGAGTATCATGTGTCAATGAACATCATTAAGGTCTAGTATTATATGTCAATGAACATTATCAAGTAGTGATTCATCATTATCAGCAGCATTATAATGTTGGTTAAGGTCATTAAGTACTGGTATTATTTTTGTTTCAGGATCCTGTGTATGTTTTTTATTAACCAACACTATTTGTGTTTTCACCATGCATCATTTTTTTTAGAATTTTTAAGGCCCTCCAATATATACATCTAAACAACAAAACAGTTAAAATTCAGATCTCCAGTTGTATCAACATGGCAGCCTTTTGTTGCGAAACTCCTCTCTGCTGTGTTCTCCTTGTTTTTGTGGTGACAATATTTTCCTGATTTTGTAGCTGTTTAGTTGTAGTCCCTACCCCTGTATCTCCACCATCATGCTTCATGTGCTTTTCAAGAAGTTGGCTTAAAATACCATACCCATATCCTAAGTTATGATGAAATCATGAGTCAAAACCTTCATAATATCATTTTATGGAGTCAAGAATACATCTGCATGTATCTTAAGTTTCCATACACCAAAGCTTATCTTTACCAAAATTTAGAGCTAGGGCTTAGCTTTCCAAAATTATCTTTACTGAAATGAAAAGCAAGGCCTAGCTTTCTCATACAGCTTATTGTTACAGAAGTATAGTCCCAGGCTTTGATTAAGCTTTGTTTGATCACTGAAATCTAAAGCCAAATTTAGTTTTATACATGTAGCTTATGAAGCCTCACTTAGTTCCTTCAATATGGCTTGTTAAAGGAGAGTGAGTGATACTAATGTATAAGTTGCAGAATGCAGTCCAGCTAGATGTTTGTGGTGGTGATACAGGGGAGTAGATCCCCTAGCTAGTCCAGTACTGATAGAGTACTGTGTGAACTTTAACCTTGTCCAAATGTTTTTCAGTTTCTACCTCCCTCACACGATATTGTAATATGTGATGGCCTTCCTTTGTAAACTGGAGACACCGATGAGCAAGACATGAGCTCCAGCTTGAAGTGTGCAGATTTTATAAAATTGAAGGAAAATAAATTATTTTTGGTCACAAAGCAAGAACATTATTACAGTAGTATAAATGTTTTGATGATAAATATTACTTGTTTTCATGCTCATTAAAAAATTCATGTGCATGTATATGATAATTTGATAAATAGAAATGACTTGGTCTTTGTGAAAAAAATGGAGAATAAAGATGTAGACATGTCAAAGAGTACACCAAGGTCTTACCAATAGAAAGTAGAAAAATTATTGTTATTTTGAAATATTTTTGTTTCGGCAGTTTTACTGATAGCTGACTTTTGTATGGCAGTAAATTGTTCTCTGTACCTAAAAAGAAAAGGAAATAGTCGATAATGTTATACATGTACAATGTATCAATAAAAATAATACTGCTATTGGTATCATAATGACCAGCTGCTAAATTTTTCCCTTGTTGATATCAAAATACAAAGGATTTTTGTAAATCTAGTTCTGTCGCATAGAATTTTCTTCCAGTTTGGATCAGATAAAATATGAATCTCAGAAAATGTAGTGTTCCCAGGCAGGATGTTATAGGACTTATTCAGTAGAAATATTGCTCAGCGAAGACAGAAAGCTTCGTAAAATGACCGTAAGTGTCAATGTAGGAGACATCAGACAATATATAATTGTTTACCAATGTTACACGTTGTCATGCTGTAATATTCCTGGGTTTTATTGTAGGCAGTCTCACAGAAGGAAGCAAGACATTGGGATTTACAAAAACAACAAAGAATTAAATACATATACTTCGCTATTATATCAAAGTTATGACAGCTATATTTTGGCGCAATCATTACAAGAAATATGTATTGTGGCTTTGTTGTGACTAATCCCACCCTTAAAAGCCCAACACAAAGAGAAATGAAATGGTTGTACAGTTATTTGTTACTTCCATCATTCTTGTTTTACTTGTCAATGGGTATGAGTTGTCTGTGTCTTTTTCACATCATTTCTCTTTCTCTGTTGTCCAGGTTTCTTTTTCTTTAAACAGCCCATTTACAACTTTTCAGATTCTGTCACAAATCTTTTCTCCTTGTCCTGTGCCCTGCTGTGTCTGTGTTGTTTGCCACCATGGTAATTTACACTCAGAATGCTCCGTCACTTGGAAGTTCTAATAACATGGGGTGGTGCTTGATGACATGTACATGGGACATTATGTGAGATATTACATGATTGGTATACAATTTTATTGTATTTCATCAGGCTGTTCCATTTCTTTCACCATCTGAAAACTAATTTATCCTATAGGAATACATGAAAATGGTTGGAAATACAGATATGCCACAATTTCTGTTTTTGCATTTTTTGTGTGCTTTAGATTCTTATTTATCTCTGATTTAATGGTAATGGAGGGTGATGGAATTATGATACTGGTGACACGTATTTTGTATAACCAGGTTTCTAATCACAATTTTCTTGTTGGTTGAAGATCTTTTCCTGCAGGTTCCCAAGTTTCTAGGTATTCTTAATGACACTTATATTTGTTCAGAAAAGTTTAAAAAAAATGATCATTATTGCTTTACAATGTTTTCTCTCTGCTGGCAAAAATGTAACTAGTGTGACTGGTAAATGCACAACATTTCCTTCAAATTCACTATTATGATTCCCCATAAAAGGTCTTTTTAGTATGACCAGGTACCCAGTACACAAGTCAGAATTTTCAATTTTGATATAGATTGTATATCCTTGTGATCAGGGTAGACATTTTCCTGTTACCGATGTATTGTTGACTTTGTTATCAGGCTAGTTTTGTTACAGTTAAGTTTAGCAAATGAAAAAAAAAGATTGTCAGAGCAAACAGATCAAATTTGCATGATGGGACATTTGGTAGCCAGATGTAGCATGCTTGGTACAGTTGTATGCTGAGTGTTGTTACTCATATCTCAACCAGATTCCTACACTGACTTTTACTGTTAATTGGTTTTTATAATTTGAAATTTCCTCAAATAAATTTTTCCTTTGTCCCAGTTTTCTAGATTGACTATCTCCTTGATGTTTTTTACTGGTTATTTCTAAACTGGAATTTCCTAGAATGTTAAAATTTAGAACCAGAAGTTCAAACTTCACTGCACACTATCTGTATTATATGATTTGAAAAAAAATCTGCATGTGTAAATAAAACAGTATTTCATCCCACGATCATTTGTTTATGCTGCTGACCGAAGTTATGTAATAGGCATACAACATAAAAGTTTTATATAGTATCCGGGTTATTTCATCTTAAACTTTAAACCAATTTCTTGACCGGTTTTTTTCGGCGTAAAGCTTATAACCTCCGAATATATATGCTTTAGGATTTGATATGTACAGGAGGGATTTCCATTGTGCTGGATAACATAAATATGGATGTCAATATACCGCTACCTAAAAGTTGGTCAATCTTTCAATATTGTTTCAGTTGTAGAAATTGTATAGGTATGTTGTAATGTCTTGGAGATCATGTGACATAAAGTAAAAGATATCTGTTTAAGATTATGTTCTGGTCTATATGTCCGTATTATGTATGTGTTGTGTCTGTGTGTACAGGGTGGAAGGAAGAAGCCCTCTCAGCCGTATCACTCCACCAACAGACGGGAGAGAAAGGAGAACACGTACCAAGTGTCCCGCTGGTCACCGTTCATCAAGGACATCATGGAGGTACACATACCCTATTCTTCAGTGTCAGATTCTTACAGGTCCCTAGTCTTACTCAGTCAGACAGAGCTATTTGCTTAGTGACTCAGTATCATTCAAACCTAGATATACACTAACAGGTCNTCACTCACAACTAGATATACACTAACAGGTCCCTAGTCTTACTCCATCAGACAGCTATATACTTAGTGACTCAGTATCACTCACACCTAGATATACACTAACAGGTCCCCAGTCTTACTCCATCATACATAGCTATATACTTAGTGACTCAGTATCCCTCAAACCTAGATATACACTAACAGGTCCCTAGACTTACTCCATCAGACAGCTATATACTTAGTGACTCAGTATCATTCAAACCTAGATATACACTTACAGGTCCCTTACCTTACTCCATCATACAGAGCTATCTACTTAGTGACTCAGTACTCACAACTAGATATACACTTACAGGTCCCTAGTCGTAGTCCATCAGAGAGCTATATACTTAGTGACTCAGTATCACTCACACCTAGATGTACACTTACAGGTCCCTTACCTTACTCCATCATACAGAGCTATATACTTAGTGACTCAGTATCACTCACACCTAGATATACACTAACAGGACCCTTGTCTTACTCCATCATACAGAGCTATATACTTAGTGACTCAGTATCATTCACACCTAGATATACACTTACAGGTCCCTTACCTTACTCCATCATACAGAGCTATATACTTAGTGACTCAGTATCATTCAAACCTAGATATACACTTACAGGTCCCTAGTCTTATTCCATCAGACAGAGCTATGTACTTAGTGACTCAGTATCACTCAAACCTAGATATACACTAACAGGTCCCTAGTCTTATTCCATCAGACAGAGCTACATACTTAGTGACTCAGTATCACTCACACCTAGATATACACTTACAGGTCCCTTACCTTACTCCATCATACAGAGCTATATACTTAGTGACTCAGTATCATTCACACCTAGATATACACTTACAGGTCCCTTACCTTACTCCATCATACAGAGCTATATACTTGGTGACTCAGTATCACTCACAACTAGATATACACTTACAGGTCCCTAGTCTTATTCCATCATACAGGTCCCTTGTCTTACTCCATCATACAGAGCTATATACTTGGTGACTCAGTATCACTCACAACTAGATATACACTAACAGGTCCCTAGTCTTATTCCATCAGACAGAGCTACATACTTAGTGACTCAGTATCACTCACACCTAGATGTACGCTTACAGGTCCCTTACCATACTCCATCATACAGAGCTATATACTTAGTGACTCAGTATCCCTCAAACCTAGATATACACTTACAGGTCCCTAGTCTTACTCGGTCATACAGAGCTATATACTTAGTGACTCAGTATCAGTATCACTCACACCTAGATATACACTTACAGGTCCCTAGTCTTACTCAGTCATACAGAGCTATATACTTAGTGACTCAGTATCCCTCAAACCTAGATATACACTTACAGGTCCCTAGTCTTACTCAGTCATACAGACCTATATACTTAGTGACTCAGTATCATTCACACCTAGATATACACTTACAGGTCCCTAGTCTTATTCCATCAGACAGAGCTATGTACTTAGTGACTCAGTATCACTCAAACCTAGATATACACTAACAGGTCCCTAGTCTTACTCCATCATACAGAGCTATCTACTTAGTGACTCAGTATCACTCAAACCTAGATATACACTTACAGGTACCTAGTCTTATTCCATCATACAGAGCTATCTACTTAGTGACTCAGTATCACTCAAACCTAGTTGTTACACCTCAAGTGAATTTCTAGCTATTTGATTGGTTGGGAGAATATTAAACAAAAATCGCCCTCCAAAAATACATTGGTTTTAAGGGGCACGGGTGATATTGCCATGAGACAGTGAAAAATATCACATGCACAAAAGATGTGCATTCACCGCTTCGTTTCCCCACCATGATGGTCACAAGAACGTTTGATGGCAACAGCCAATTTTATCAAGCGCCGGTGCGATAGCGATTGTAAACGGCAGACTATCAACAAACAAGATGTAATTATCGAGGTTTGCTGCTGTTTCTGAGCTACAAAGACTTTTGGTGTAACAAAATAGATATGACATTCATTAGCAGATGACAGTGAATATTGTCAACCCTCAAAAACCCATTGTCACCCTTGGGTGACAATGGTTTTCTCGGGTTGACAATATTCACTGTCACCTGGTAATGAATGTCATATTTATATAATGTACACTTACAGGTCCCTAGTCTTATTCCATCATACAGAGCTATATACTTAGTGACTCAGTATCACTCCTAACAGGTCCCTAGTCTTTCTCCATCATACAGAGCTATATACTTAGTGACTCAGTATCACTCACACCTAGATATACACTTACAGGCTCAAGGTCTTGTTCAAATCTTTTTGATACTCTTATCTATGAATTCAAAATTTCACTCTTACCTTACAGACTTAAGTTTTGCTCAATCCTACCACTTCAACATATATACTTACACATGGATTCTTTGTTTAATTCAAAAAAATATTTTCTGATCGCTTACTTTTTTTTCAATTTGAAATAATGAAAATTTGAAAAGTAGGACTTACCATTATATCCATCTTAGTTCAACAACACACTGATAGCATAGATAATGATTTAGGATATTGTATTATTTATCTAGGATGCAACAGAGGAGAAGCTTGATACACGTGCCTTCCCCTTCCTGTCTGGAGGGGTTCAAAGGTCAAGTGGGATGAGGAAACCACCAATCAGGTAACATTTTCAAAGATTTACACACTATTATAATAAAATGAATTTGCAAAGGGGAGACAACAAAAAAACAATGGCAACATTAACATCTAGTATTATTTTAAGTTTTAAAAATGGCTTCTGTAAAATTTTCATACATTGGTTACATTTTACATTCTGAAAAGAAAGATAAATACATGTATGTATATTACTGATAAAAAAGAATTTGCATATACCCTGGTAAGTTTTGCTGTTTTGTTCATTTGTTGACTTTTGACCTTTTAGTGCACGGTATGGTCACTGGCACAAGGACAAGACTCAGGCTAGCTACAAGAGCGGCCCAAGACTCATCATCTTCATCATGGGGGGTGTGTCCTATGCTGAGATGAGATGTGCTTACGAGGTTACCCAGGCATGTAAAAACTGGGAGGTCTTGGTTGGTAAGTGTTGTCATAGTGATAAATATTTTCTCTCAGCCTGGCTATATATATAGCTGGTACGTCAGGAGGAAACATACTGTAAATGGGGAAATTTTCACCAAGTAAAATTTTTCCCCTTCAACAGTAAAATTAACTTTCACAAAAAACAAATTAAATCAGTGCAAGATATTTTGTCTAAAATTCCAGAAATAGTTATGACATCAGTGATTTAAGTGTTTACTTAGGTACTCTAAAACACACTGGGTATGCAGACATAGCTAACAGTGAACGTAATTTTAAAGAATATTGCTAGATTGAAATAGTTTTACAGTTTCTGTAGCGTCTGGTGATTTTTTCAGGTTCAACGCACGTACTGACTCCAGAAGGTTTCCTTAGCGACCTGAAGACCTTGACAACGTAGACACTAACTGATAACAAGGCAAGCACAGTGATGGATCGGTATTTGTCAAAATAAATCTGGCAGACAATCATCAAGAGTGAATGCTGTGACGATGTCAGACCATAAATAGCATGAAACCCCTAAGTAAAGGCAATGGGTATACATTGAACACAAGACCTACACAACAGAGTGTCAGCGGACCTGTGGAGTATCAATGTACTCCTCGGATCTGGTGCACACCGACCACTCTATACTCGAGTTAGATAGACAATGTATAAATGCTATTTAAACTTTCTCTTTTTTCATCAAGGCTTTTGAACAAATGTGCATAGTGTAGTTGAATATTATACTATTGACATCTTGGTTTTGATTTGTGACAATTTCTTACAGACTACTGATACATGTTGAATGTGTATGCTTAAGTAGCGTGTACTATCTAGAAAATGGTATCGATTTTATTTTCTTATTATGAGAAAAGTTAAACTCCATTTCTCATCAGACTATTAATGTTAGAGAAAAAGGAGCAGTGTTGTAGCCAATGGATGTTGATAGTATGCTAACATGTTAGGTACATTCAGGATTTGTACACTGACCTAGTCAAATTGATTTAGCTTTTTGTTGGATTTTTTATTTTTTTGTTAATACAAAATTTACTAATCTTGTGGAATTTACATTTATCTCCTGATTTCATCATATGTCATATTAACATATTTATTCTCAATCTTCAAATTTCAACAAATTGTCTGTATGTATGCTACTGGGGATTTTTTAATTATTTCAATAATGTATAAGAAAAATATTTTTCAAAACTAGGAGGTGAGTCATTTGAAGTTTAGGATAAAACAAGCTTAAGTTTCCTGTACGGTGACCCGTTGAGGCTGGGCTATAGGTTACCAGTAAGATAATGACATTAGGTGTACGACCTGAATGGAAATAAGCTTGTCAGGTTGGGTTAACACAAGGAAAGCTACATGATGGTGGACTTATCAAGGACGCATTCTGATGAGGTTTGTTTCAGACGAGATATATACAACCTAATTGGAGAGAGACTTAAGATGAGGAAAGCAAACTGTATGTTGATGATGGAACAAATTGGACGGTGGGTATGGAATGAAACTTATTAGATGAGGACTACTCCCTGTGGGTTGTCTTGTCAAAGAAGAAGGATACAAACACTTTATTTATTGTAGACGCTTGTGGTCACGCTCCATCACTTACCTACTTTATTTATTGTAAAAGACTGAAATAATCTTCAATACAACAAATCTTTGTTATATAGTCAACTGCTGTGATGTTTTAGATGACAATAGCTTGTGCTGACTGTCACTTTGTTATTTAAGGTGTATTTATATGATAGAGTATCCTTTGATGTGTGTACGATAGGTAAGCTGGTTTAGACTTTGTTACCATGTTACTTGTTTATCACAGGTAGATCACTTACCTCGGACGTAGAAATGTGTATTAACTTCAAATAATTTAATTTTACATTACATGGTTTATAAAATGTATTAAATGTGCGTATTTCATGTTGTGACTGTTCTAGTTGATGTAGTGCTATATGGTTGACTTACCATATCTTGGGGCAAAGAGCACCGCTGTTTATACTTGTACATATTGATCTGAATAATCTAGGCTTGTGTAGTATTCACCTTCTAAAGGAACGTCAACATCTTGTGTCCATGCGTGAGAGGCTCATTCCTAGGGAACGTATAATTCGTGCTTATCACTGTGCTAAAAGGAGGATAAAGTAAATAATGATTTGAGTTGAGAGTAATGTTTGGTGAGCTTTTTGGGTCATTTAGATGTCCTGTTAAATTTGTATGTATCTGTTCTTATAAGAATGATCATGTTTTAGAAATTGTGCAGAATTTTATGTTTTGAGATGAAGATTACGAAAGGTACCTTTGGTATTGATCATTCCATGTGTTGCTGTTTCAATGACCAATTACACTACGAAGCAAGTGTTCAGTACAGATTCCTGTACGTGTTCAGCCAATGTAAGCATTAATCCTGTCACATCATCACTAAAGCTGTTCTTGTCTTCTTCATACAATCATGTAATCATTGATTTAATCAATTACAAATATAAATTATGTGTATTGAAGTTTTAATTTTCGTACGTATGGTAGAATGTAAATATTGTATTATTATCACTATCATGAACACTGCCAAAGCAAACATTTAAATAGTTATAAAAACAGTGTCGATGACAGCAGGGGGGGGGGGAATCAAATTTGTAGGAAAAAAGTTAAGCAATGAAAATTGTTCATTAAGGAAAACAGATTCCGTTCTTGATGCACATGCACATTGATTCATGTGTATGTGTTTTTCAGCTCCATTTGACCTATTGACCACCGAGACTAATTCATGTGTTAGTCTATTGACACAAAAGATCCCTGGTACCTCGTACTGCTAGCATTCACACGGTAGTCCAGAAAATGAGACTTTTTTTGTAAAAGCTTAATATTCTGATTGATAGAGGCACTATGTTGTTTCTTGATAGCTATGCCTCTGTTGATTTATTTTTATCATTTGAATTTAGATTTGAATAATTACAGAACCTATAAATCGTCAGAATGTGTTTTCGTAGCATATTCTGTGATTATTATTCAGACTTCATATTAATATACTATATATATGTGTGTGTATTGATAAGGGACAGAATGGCTCTGGAGTAGAATTTATTGTGTCAAAGTGAATGTTACCAGTATTGTTTAACATTTTATGTTTGTGTTTTGTATTTCACCTGTATAATTTTAATACAACTATTTCACATCACTACCCATTGCAGATTTTGGGTGGTTGAAAATGTTACTAACATAAAAACTCACATCACATCCTGTTGATGGTAAATACATAATGCAGTCTGTTATCTAGATTTCTACACAGGTTAAAGAACAAAGTGCATTATCAAACCTCTCCATTATAGCTGTATGTGACTGTGAATTCCTTTTATTGTGAGTTTATCTTATAATTTCCCTGTTTCTCTCCTTCAAAACCCTTTTCATTGACCTTCCCTATCATCAATTTCCCATCACCCCCTCTCTGACTCCCCCTCTACATCAGCCATTCTCCATAGCTCCTGCCCTGTTGATACAAGATGTGGAGAGGTATTGTGCAATAGTTTGTATATAGTCCCTACTACACAAACTAATGGCCACTCTGGCCACTTGACCCTAAGATTGTGTAACTGTCGGGCAATTGTTGATTGTAACTTGTGTTAGAGGATCAATTCGCTTCGTGCTCTTAATATGAAACCTGGGACTTAACCAGCCTTTAATAAACTAGAAACAAAAAAAGTTTCAAAAACGCATATTGCTAAAAATTTAAGAAATCTAGAGGAATATTTTCTACATGTCAACTGGACTGTTCTTCATTTCACCTTGCCATGTACATTCTTTGAAAATATGTGTGACTCCTGGAAAAAGACTAATGAAGTCTATCAAATGACGGTATGTGGGATAGATAAAAACTCTACCCGAGGGTGAAGAATTTGGATCAGTACTGAGGCTTTGGTCGTGAGCCAAAATTCTAAACCCAATGGTAGAGTTTACCTATCCCACATGCCTTCATACCTGTTAATGATTGACTAAATTTCTCCCACCTCTTACCCAAGAATTTGGTAAAAATTGACAATGACATGGCATAATAAAGAATAGATTTTCTAGATATCTTACAAATTAACGAAAAACATATTTGGCAATAGTAGTAAAAAGCATGGTATACCAAAGGTATACTTTAAATATTTAAAAGAGTGTGGAAAAACTTCACAGAAAATTTGTTTAAAAATCATTTATTTGCGTGTTGCCACATGCTTACTGTGTGTTGGCATTAAATATTCATGTATCACAGCTAAATGATGTTCATAACTTTTTTTAATGCTTACCCTTGTTTCCCTGCTTTCTTAGTTAAGATTTCTTAGTTAAGATTTAGTAAAAAAAAAGGTCAAAAGTTCCCACATGTATCTTCATATGGGATAACTGTATCTTTTATATGCAGAGGTGGGAGAAAAAAAAGGTTACATGAACCCCCAAAAAGTTAATACAATGTACCATAACATGTAATCTCCTTAGTGACCTGTGTACTCCCTAGATGGCAACAATAATGAAAAGGAAAATCTTCTTTATATTTCCTGTGTGCCATGTTTTATACTTGCACAAGTCCTACTTGATTATAGATTTTACGAGTGTATCTATATATATCTATGTATTTTTTACATTTTCAAGTATTTAGACTTTATATATAAATATATTATAAGTCTTGATACTTTTATAAAACACAAAGCCAGTACTGTGGTTACCTTACATCAAGGAAATTGGAAATAATACCAGTCAACAGAAATGTGTTGTGTTTTACGTCTGAGTAAACATCATAATAGTGGTGTATTACAAAGAGAACATTTTCAATTTGTGTTTCTGTGTATGAAGATATATCATGTGATGTGATAAGCTAATTTCGTTAATGAATATGCAATTGTTGCTTCATAACATTCTATATCAGTCGTTATATGTGTCACTTGATCAAACTTATTTCTGTTTCTCAGATTAAATGTAAAATAACTATCCTTTTTTGTTATTGTTTTTCTATTATACATCCTTGCTTTACATCCCAGATATGAAATGGTGTTTCCCAACACTAGTCTGATATGTAGTTGTATGTCTATGTTCAATATTTTGCTTATATATTCAAAAGATGCTTATATTACCAAGAGTGCATATTCTGTGTCTGTTTTAGATCAGTGCTCATATATTGTGTCCATTGTTGATGGTATTGAATGCCAGGATGCCTTCGGCATAGTAATTTCAGTGAGATATCAATGTAAAGTCAGCATCAGATCTGCACTATCACAAGGAAGCATTTACACCAACATACCCTGCCTCCAGCACAGGTACTAGCCTCGTCTGTTAATACACCTATATTATAGGTGTATTGACAGACGAGGCTAGTACTTGTGCCTCCAGCACACATGGAGGCATGTTAATAGGATGTTATACAAAATAAGACGAAACCAAACCAAGGCCGTTGGTAACTGCAGAGTCCCCGATGGTATTCTCTCTTATACTAAAAGACTTCCACTGTATGTCTTGTCTTAGCTGCAGAGTAAATGGCGACATCACTCTTCCCGATGTTAATGAGTGTCCTGAGGTGGAATGGGTCTTTGACAGTCCAATGAAAGTTCTGCCTAGGCCCCTATATCCCATGCTCTTTAGGCATATCAGGGTTAGATTGACCCCCATTTAATTGTTTACTGTATTGGGAAGGGTTGGCCCCCATTTAATTGTTTACTGTATTGGGAAGGGTTGACCAATCTCGCAATTCCATTTGATTTTTTACGTCAGTTTGACGATCCTTGTTGAAAAGCCATAGGTCTCTGGTAATCCTATCTTGGAGTAGCTTCAACATTCCTAGGTGCCATGCTACATCAAAGACCTCTGCATCCGAAGTAAAAGAAAATCGTCCAGTCATTTACCTTGATAACATATTCCTCCACAACAGTGCTGCATTAATTCGAGATGTTTGGCTGTGAACCCGCTTTGTAGCCGATTTTTGCAGTTCATTTGCTGTAAGTTCCATGTTTGGCTGTTGACTTTACACTTTTACTGATGGCGGCATCCCTGCCTTTTCCCCTGTCTATTTCGGCTAGGGGTGTGCGTTTGCCTTCTTGAATGAGTTTTGTACTCGACGTAGTGTGACAATGTCATTGATTAACACAGTAATACAGACTGCAACTCTCTTACCTAGCTTTAGATGTAAAGATTGTTTTCCGCCGTAAAAAACTACTGAACATCTGGCGACTTGTTGCTTTTCATCTAACGAATTGTCAGATAATCCTCTTCAATTCTTCAATATTAATGACAGTTTGCCTTGGAGGCAGTTTCCTTATTTTGTCTTCGGTGATTGTGATCTAAGAGAAATGTTAAGTGGAACTTTCTGTGATGTTCCATTTCTACTCATAATGATTGCTTTTGGAGCGACATCTACCGACATGTATTGCAGAAGTTTATAAGCATTTTTGATGGGTCTTTTGTTACGTTGATGGAATTGTGGCTATGGTTACATTGCTGTATATGGTGTGCAGCCTTCTAGTATGCTGAGAAAGTCTGCCACCCATTCGGTCCATTGCTGTTTCCGACATGAAATGCTTGGCCGGGGGAACATGTTTCTTTACTGTTTTCGTCCACAGTGTACACCAGTGCCTGGGATGTGGTCGGAAGTGTTGCCAAATGTTGAAGATAACTGTGTACTTTCTGAATAGGCTGGTCGGATAGGGGATGTTTCTTACATAAACTGCTGAAGAACATGATCGTGTGAATTTTGTGGGTTTTGTATGGGGAACTGTTGACCTTGTATTTAGCGATACTTTCTTGGGAGTTATCCAATGTGTCGGTAGAAGCCGTCTGTTCCATGACCATGTCTTTAGACAAGCAGATTGTTTTATGCTTGTGGTTGTCACTCGTGGGTTACCATCCCAACGTTGATAACGATAGGGTCCGCGTCATTCACGCATCGACATTGCGTAACATGAAAGTAGTTCCCGAGGTTTTCAGTAAATTCTCCATGCATAAAAAGTTCCCTTGGATGTTTTGGACGTCGAGGAAGGTTTACCTCCCCGTCTTTTCAATGCTTAACATCTTGGGTGCTGGATGTGTTTCCTAACCGTCGCCCGTACTGTTGAGTGTGCTTAGTTGGGAGCTAATATATAATACCTTGCAATATATAAAGGATGACGACTTCAAGGGTGAACCCTGTCGATCTGAACTCGCATAATCGGTGTGTGAGATTGTGATGTAAATGAGTAGATGCATATTTCTTCCTGTGAGACTGTCATAATCATTGCGAGTGTGGCGCGGCGGTATACACCGGACTCGAATCTTACAAATGCAGCAGGTGTCGGCGAGCAGATATGGTAATCAAGACCAGAGTCTGGAGGATTTCTAGATTGTTAAAATGACTTCGGAAACGTATTGTTGATCAAGGAATGGCTATGCGTTGGAGTCCCAATGTACACTATGTATCATTCCACGTGGCAGAGGCCTCATCTTGGGATTGAGGATTTCTGCGATGATGCGGTTGCTGATGTCGCAATCACTTGGTTCCCCCACCCCGGGCTCTTGAGGGGATTGCTGTATAAACTGGGGATAGTCATGATCCTCCGAGGTTCTGTTGACTGTTGTACATGTGACAGCCATACGGGATTCCTGTTGTGGTCTTGAGGCGGTTCCTAGATTAAACTGAGATTTGTGAAGTTCCTCTGTAGGCTTTGTGGCCAATATTGAAACAATCATCGGACTTTCTATCCTGGTCTGTTGGTAGAGTTGCTGGGTAAGTTGGGGTTATGGAGACCTGGGATCATGTTCACCATGCCATTGCCCTTCAAATGTGCTAACACGCATTGAACGAAATTGTGTATTTCAATCCCTAATTTTAAACGGGATGTCTGTCCTCATTTGTGAATACTAGAAAGTGCAATGATAGTTCTGATCGTAATGGTGTTTGGCTGATCAAAACAAACAGGTCTCTTTGATTGCCTTCAGAAAGGTTGCTGCATTCGATTATTTGTTACTGTCAATACTGTTTCCAGTTGATTCTCTCGAAGTTTAATCATTTATATTTTATGAAAGTATGCAATTTCAATTGAAAAACATCCTTCTCACTTTTTCTCCACAGTTCGGTTTCTAATTTTTTTTGGTGTGTGATCGTGATATCGTGCAAATAGCCACACTTTCCTCCATATTCAGTCAAAAACTTCAGATTCCTCAACTTAACTGTATACATCGAAGAAGTTGTATGATTCTCATACGTCTTGACCAGATATTGATTCTTATATTAAAATTAATTTCATCATTTTTGATGCTGCCATATGTATTATTTGAAACATCCTCGTGAGATCAGCTCCTGTATGAACTACCGTATACCTATATTCTAGTATAGGTCAAAGAAGTAATATAGACGGTAAAATCCCATATAACACTGGATCCTAATGGAGTTATGTCCGTAGGATACGAATTACTTAAAATATTATATGGGGCAAAGAAGTAATTCCAACAGTGTGGACAAGTTTAGGTTGTCAAATTTTCGGAGCAATCCGATCCTTTTTCAAGACACAGTGAAACAGAACAGTTACATGTACATATACATCATATTACAAGAAAATAGAATTGATTTACTATAATTGAAAGTATAGCTATTATATAAAACCAATAGTCCCCTCGGCTAAAGACAGCCGAAGGCAGCAATTAAGCTGAGAGCATCGCGGACAAGGAACGCTGATGTAGAGGACCTATTCTTGCGCAAGATGCACTATCATATAAAGTGAGTCAACGAGAGATATCAAAAACGTTGAACATGTGCATGTGGAGATCTGGCCCGGCAAATGTGAAAAATCTCCAATTTGCTACGGAATGTCTCATTAGTCGTCTCTCAATACTGCGATGGATCTAACAGTCGTAGCAGGGGGTCCACACTTAGTCGCCTCTTATGGTTTGCAGGAATAATGCATGTGCCTCTTTTGGTTTGCAGGAATTATGCAAGTAATTATCAAATAAGTGAGTGCAGGAGGAATAAGTAGATGAAATGGCTAAGATACTGTATAAATCTGCAAAATTAATCTGACAACGGCTGTTGGTCACACGCACTGACAATGAAGCAGCAGGCAGGCGAGACAGCAGACCAACTGTGCAGTAATGCATCATTAGGTAAAATGCCCTCTGGAAGGAAAACGAGCGGATGGCAATCGCCTATCGTTCGTTCATACCTCGAGGGTAGCGGGTTTGTAGATTGGTGATCCAAAACCGTTCTCTCGTTCGTCGTCTCGTTTCATCCCATGTAGGGCAATGATCTATGGCAACAACCTGCATGTCTTTCCAACTATGGCTAGGCATATTAAAATGCCTTGCCACAGGGAAGTCTGGTTTGTTCTGCTTGATGGAGCAGCGGTGGTTGTTGATCCTGACATTGAGCTGGGTGCAGGTCTCGCCCACGTACTGTAAATTGCATTTATTGCAGGTTATAAGGTACACCACATTGACTGTGATACACTTTGCCGTTGATTGTACATTGAAATGTATCTGTGGAGCGCGTGTATGGACACAGTTTGCACACCTTCTTGTTACAGGTATTGAAAGAGCCTTTCGCCGCAGCAGGGTTAGGTGTAGGTAGCTTGCTGCTTACCACAAGATCTCTAATGTGTTTAGGTCTACGATATGCCAGTATAGGAGACTCTGGAAAGATCTGCCGAAAGATCAGTTTCGCTGAAGATTCGATGATGCGCCAGTGCTTTTTCAAGATAGATGGAAGTGGCGGTATGTCTGGGTGGAACATGACTACACAAGGTACCCTTTGTGTATGGGGTCTGACTTTGTAAACAAGCAGACTGGCCCTGTCCAGTACCGTCACTTTGTCTATTTCCCGATCTATCAAAGTAGATTTGTATCCTCTGCCAAGAAGATGGGACTTTAACTCTGAACATCTGCGTACAAAGATGATGTCATCCGAAATAATACGCCTGATGTGCAGAGCTTTGGAGTAGGGTATGCTTCTCGTGGTGTGCGAGGGGTGACAACTGGATGGGAGGAGTATATATATATATATATATATGGGGCAAAGAAGTAATTCCAACAGTGTGGACAAGTTTAGGTTGTCAAATTTTCGGAGCGATCCGCTCCTTTATCAAGACACAGTGAAACAGAACAGTTACATGTACATATACATCATATTACAAGAAGATAGAATTGATATACTATAATTGAAAATATAGCTAATATATAAAACCAATAGTCCCCTCGGCTAAAGACAGCCGAAGGCAGCAATTAAGCTGAGGGCCATATACTTGTATCACGTAACGGGATTGTCTCATTACTCTTACCTGGTCAAGTGTTGAATTCGTTCTAAAACAACTGGACTTGTGGTCAATGTCTGCCAATAGCTGTGTGATTTGATAGCTATATAGCTCATATACAATTATAAAATGTTATAAAAATAAATAATACCTGTGGAAGTGTTTTGTGTGTGATGTGAGAAGTGTGAATGTTTGTATTTCAGTTATGTTAATTAAGAAGGAGTTACATCCCTTTAATATTTTTTTTTATAATTTTCATTTCAAAATTGGTGTATTAATTAAATCAAATAAAAATAATAGAATCCGTTAATTTAGCCACCGCTGGAGAGCATTTATATAGGCTTTGCCTGTTATTCCATCCAATTGACTTGTATCAACTTTGCAATAAAATTTGTTGAAATGAAACAACTGAAAATTGCAATGATTAACATCTGTCACTCAAAATAAGATTACATATATATATATGTAAACTGTGAACATGCTTACCACACCATTCATGTTTTGTAACTACACTGTACATAAAGTTCGGACCTGTCGACCTCAGACTATACTGGTGTGAGTTTAGGATACAACAGAAACCACGCATCGACTTGGCGAACGCTTTAATCATAAATTCATATTTGGTATCCAGAATATCTTTTTTCAAATATTATCATATTTTAACTAAATCGTTCTTTTATATAAATATTAAGGTTCCGACAGGTGTTAATGTACTCAGTAACATTTTCCGTGAACTTTTTTTAACTTTTACTTACCTTTGATTACTAAGTAATACATATGTACAGCATAGTAACCATACAAAGGTTGTATTATCGCACAATATCACAGACTGTATAACATGTTCATGAATCGGTCACCTAAGAGCCCCGGACATTCTCGTCTCGTTGGGCATTGTAGCCCAGCCTTTGATGTACATTGCTTGTGTTACTGTATACATCAACATTGTGGATTTAATCCATTCCGCAAGACAGAACATGCATATAATGATCGCTTAGAACAGTTACATCAAGTATGGCAAGTTGTAAAATAATTGTTACTCGTCAATACATAGGATCAATGTGTAATGCATTTACGCAAAATAACGGTAATGTTTAGTATACATAAGCCACCGCTATTTAATATCTTCAAAAACAATTTTCTCTCGGTCTTTTGTTGCTAGTATCACAGGAACTTGTCTGGCTGGATCATTGTCTGAAAACTGGACCAGTGTAGATGTCTCATCCTGTTTTCCAGAATCTCAAGTGCGACGGCGCCTGAATGTCTACATCATAAAAACATCAACAAATGATAAACAACACAAAAAAATGCTTAGCAATATTTTAGTACGTCACAGGTGACTTGAAACCCTTTACAAGACTATGGAAAAATAAGGTAGTTCATGTGTACCCAGTTATAATGTTGACCACCATTCTCAATTTGGTTCGCTAACGGTGTTAACGGGATTTGCTTTATATCAATACACAGGGTGCATAAAGCGATAATATGTTAATATACTCCATACAATAAAAAAAATTCTAAATTTAATTAAGTAAACTAGTTCTTTATGGAATACTTTAATACTAGCCTTTGTTATAAATCAAGAGGTGTGTTATTAACACTAGATTAGGAGGAACCGATAAACTCTATTAGGCGTCAGGCGGGTGTTCAAACAGGCAAGACTGGTTAGCTTGACTTACAAACACCATTTGTTTCACGTTTAAACAACGTATTGACAAACAAGCCATTATTTACTTATTTATTTTTTAACCAAGTAACAGGACTATGTGCGTCTTGTTCTTGGGTAATCATTTAAAATCTCATGATAAACAGAATCTTTTTCTTTTTAGTTTCAATAATTAAGAAATTCCATGTTGTGCTGTATCAATGGCTCAAATTTATCTCATCGTGCCATAAAGCTGAATGGGCACAACACAGTAAAGTTTTATTAGGTGTTTTTTTTTTATATGATATAGGACATGTTTATACAAGTATGGTTTGCTTAAAATATTAAAGATACTTAGTAGACATTTAACTGAAATCATTGCAACAACGTTCGTACAAAACAGACCCCTGAACAAGAACCGTCGGATATGTATTTCATGTACATGTAGGTTTTAATTACCCTGATCCGGGCCAGCTACCTATTCTAGAGTTAATACTTGATTGTAGTCGGCCCATTTATACACCTGAGTAGGGCTATTTACATATATATACACATCTCGATACATTAGAAGACTTTAGTTCAAGCGTCTATTTAGATTTATGAGATACCGTATACATAAGGAATTGATACATTAACAGCATTTAAAGATCTAAACCAATCTCAGCAGATATAAGCTTTGTTGTATGGGTTTATCGTGACAATTTTTTGTTTGTCGTTATGACTTAAAGGTTCACGACCTATTACAGACTTGTCAGAGCGCAAGAACCCCTTTGCTGTTAAGATGAATCAGTGAAAAAATCCAGAGAAGACGGACTCCAATATCCCGGATAACTGTAAGTAGACGATTTTCTGAAACGTTATTTATATATTTGTTTATTTACTGGTAAGCATGTACGCATCATGTGTCGCTTTTTTATGCTAGGCCATACAGTGTCAGGTGCAACTTTTAACATAGTTTATATTAGAAACCTTCTAAGTGCAACGATTTTGGCAATGTTGATACACATGTGTATGGAAAACTAATGGACTGGCCGTACATCTAGAGGTTCACGGTAAGTATAGTAAACACTCTAGCAGTAATAACCTTATTGTCGGGTATATAACTTGGGATACTGTTGTCTGATGTATAACCTAGTAACTACTTCTCTACAATTAGTATGGCTAACGTCAGTCCTAGTCGATAAACTCGCAGAGTGATACCAACTCTGTCTTATTACTAAGTTCGATGTTTATATGGGACTGATGGTTACACATGTAAAAAACAACCAGTTAGCAAATTTATTATCTAGTTTAAGGGAAAATTAGACATTACATTACCCATGGCATTTGGAATTTACTTTGATTTTCGTAGATAACAGAGATGAAACAACTAGTGGTTTATCTTGAATAACATTTATTGTTTTAGACTTGTGTATTGGGAGCAAAATGCTGTCTTTACAGACTTGTTAACAGTTATCAGGGATGGACAGTTTGTCATTTCAGACCGGTTTATCTCGGATAAAGAGTTCTCTTTAATCACTTGTTAGTACTTACCAGGGATAGATAGTTTCTTCGTTTCTGACTGGTTTGTTGTTGGGATAAAAACGCTGTTACTTCAGACATGTTAATCTGGGATAAAAAGTATATATATTTTTGGACTTATTAATCTACGATTGATTGATTTCTTTTCACGCTCTCATGTTATATTGGAATGCTAAGACTGGCACGTTCCTTATATCACTTGTAGATAACATATTTATGTTGGTTTTAGCAAAAAAAGGATCCAAGTACAGCGGCGTTTCTTCCAGATGATACTTTGATAACAATTTATGTATCATAAACGGCGGTAGAAACATCTTGAAAACCCTTGCAGTGCATTGTATAATGCAATTTGCCATTCATTCTTTGCCGTTTTACCTCACTGTGAGAACCAGGGCTATCTGATGACAGACCGTCCCGCCTGGGCTAAAATAAAAGACGATTTATTGTCGAGATCCAATCATGTGGTCTAGTACTAATCACACACTGGCCTTTTAGGCGTTGATTCCGAATGATCTTCCAAATCAGGACCTATCAGGTTAATCAGTTGTTAAATTGAAAAATACAGTGCGATCCACTTGGGCACTAGAACAAAGGACGTGCAATGTACATATATAGTGTCTGGGTCGCTGTTCAACCCCAGGGGGTGCACGCGGCATCTTTCCCATTGCTTAGTCAATTACTATAATATAGATATACAGCAACAGTTCAACTTACAACGACGACAATAAAGGCCGGAAGTTCAATTATAAACGTCATACAGAATACAGGAACATGCCAAAGAGCTATGGTACATGCAGTTAGCGAGTACCGTACACTGTATTGGTAGCTCCTTTTAACATCGACAAACAACCAGAATATCAATAATGAACTTGTATCGATCCTGGTTGGTAGAAATCTATAGAAATTATGATATGTTAATGGCAGGTTCATCAATGTCTTGACTTTTTAATGGGTTTTTTTAGCAGCAGAATAGCGAAGTACAAAAAAAACATAATGCTTCCCATATCGCATTCAGAACCTAAAAGGTAACCAAGGGTTTAAAAACAAAAAACGGAAATCAGGAAGTCAAATGTAACATTATTCAAACAACAAACGATTGGGTAGATTGGATTTAAATATCGATCTGGAAGTTGTGTGTGTGACTGTAGAGCCTGTACAATCATAATAGGATGCGGCATTGATTGCAGGTGAATGCGGGTTTAACATAGAAACATTTGAAGCGTCATTGTAATAGTCCGTCAACAATAGAACCATAAATATTATTGACCTAGTGTAGAACCTAGTCACATCACTGACGACGCCACCTAAAGTACACTGTATGTCTGCGATTTGTGTCAGTACATGTATTAAGTTTTCCGATGTCATCGCTTTTCCGATGTCATCGCTCTGTCTATACAGATGACAATTCAGACATGCGTCTTCTTTTGATCTTAAATTACATCCATTTTTTATATATGTTTAAGGTGTAACCAGAAGCAATGGCTGCTGAAAAAATGAACGGCGGAAACGATGACGTCAAGAACAAGATGTGTTCTCATCATCCAGATAGAAAGTTTGACATGGTATGTATCACATGCAAGGATGAGCCTATATGCCGGAAGTGCATCAGTACTACTCACATCAAACATACATGCGCAGAAATGGAGGGATACTATGACACAAAGAAGGATTCGTTCCTTCGACTCGTACAAAAAGCTGATGCTAAAGTCAAAGGAATGAATGGTAAAATGAAACGATTGAAAAAACTTCAAGACCAAAATCAAAAGACCATTGACGAAACGGTCAATGAAGTGAAAGTACGAGGAAGGGAGCTAAAGAGTAAAATTGACAAAGTAACCGAGAACTTGATAGATGAGTGCAAAAGTATAGGTACGAAAAATGATGACGCCATGGCAAAGTTAGAGGAAACACTAGAAAAATCAATGAACGACTTAAAACAGACTATACAGAAATGTAAGATAGTGATAGGATGTGAAAAGTTTGAGGAATATGCATTGATGGAACGAAATCTGAGATCGCAGGTCCTCAGGAAAGCAGAACAGCTTCCTGTTCTTAGCACACCAAGTTTGTCGTCAAATGTGGAAAATTCAAGCTGTGAACAACTCCAGAATGCGTACGGATCTCTTAGCAAGAAGGACTGGCGACTCGATAAAATGGGAATGTCAGAAGAGGATTTCACACCAGTTGTCAACCAACCAGCTCAAAAGCCAGCTAAATTATTTACCGTATCTGTCTTAGCATCATTTGAGCTGTCTGCGCAGAAGTACATCCGGTCGGTCTGGCCAGTAGACGAGCACAAGTCGTGGGTGATCTGTGGCGGAAGCAACGAAGCCCACTTAGTTTCCGCTAAAGGTGACATGGTGCAGACCTCAAAGGTGGACGAGGGTGTATGGATTACGGATGTGACGTGCACAGCGGACGAAAGCAAGACAATGGTCTGTTGCGGGGACGGAACAATCAGAGAGATTTTACCCAGTGGTGATTGTAAAACTATGTTCCACACAGAGTGTTACGCTAACAGTCTGAGCGAAGCAGAACAGGAGGGATGCGTCACCGTATGTCGTCACCGGGAACAAAATCTCGTGAGGGCAACTTTTAAGGGCAAGATAATGCAAACGATCAATTTCGGCGCGGATGGAAAACCGCTGTTCTGCAAACCAGTTTGCATTCGCGTTAACAGAAGCAATGGCGACATGGTGGTGTTAGAAGCCAATTCTCCACGTCATGTCGTTGTATTTGACAAAGATTTGAATCTTCTCACTCGTTACCAAGGAAATGGAGAGTATCTTGGGGAACATGATGAAAACGGCTCAGACCAAGACGAGTTCCAGCCATGGGACGTCTGCTTCGACCGTCAGGGTAACATCATGATTGCAGACGGTCGGACTAAATCTCTGATCCTCGTGGACAGGCACGGACAGACGATACGCACCTTGTTTGATGACGACATTGGGCCAACCTGCATGGGCATGTGCAAAAACGGAGATATGTGGGTCGGCTTTGATTATGGCAATGTTAAGGTGATAAGATTCGCTAACACGTCCTAAAGGATAAAAAGAACAACTTCTCTTGACTTTGTGTTGATATGAACACAGGAACAACAAACGGCTCAAACAACTAATATTGAAATGGCATTGTCCGGTTTTAGATGGGATTGTGTGGCGTGAGTACCCATGAATTTGATGACTATCAGGGCCAACATTTATGAAACTATTTTCGTGCTTTAGCATGCATCCTGTGTTCATACCATTTTTTGTAATACGCTGAAATTTTGAGACTATGGCTTAATCAAAAAGTTTGAAAACCACCTGAAAAACATTAATGTGTTCAAATTTCACAACATTGTATCTAATTCTTAAGAGATAAAAAAAAAAGGAATAATTGGTCATTGGAACAAAGAATTGAGCTTGAGCACAGTGTTTGAATTTGAACATCACAATGCTTCTGAAATCAACCCAGGGGTTTACCTGGCCCGGCACAATATACTCGCTCGTAGCGCGTGTCGAGTTCACTGTAAGAGGGCAATATGCAATATTGACTTTTCATCTCGGAGCTGTTGCCCATTCTACAGGCTATTGTCTCTCTATACATTGTATTTCTCAACTTCTGTTGGCGAATCTACCTGTTCGGAGTGTATAACTGGCCGTTTGTCGCTATTGCTATCGATTACATTTGTGTGCCCCTATAAATTTCTAAATCTAACAGAAACATGTGTGATATGTAAATTGCAATACCTGATTAGTATTTATATCACAACATTGAAATTGCTCACATATGGTGAATGTTGTCCTTACAAAACATTTTTTTTATTGACATTAAATTAATTCAATATTGAATAATAGTTGTTATAGTATTTGTGTGTTTTTATTAGCATTACAAAACTATAACGAGACGATTTTAGCTCTTTGCAGAAAATGTGGTATCCACGTGTCTTATTTTTGATTTTGTGTCGTCACTATAGGTATCTTATGACACTACCCGTTATCTTTACATTTGTTGAAATAAACTGTACCAACAATAAACCTGGACACGAAAGTATACCGAAGGGTTAACTAAACCGTAACTCGAAAATTGGTCAAACTAAGACAAAATATGTAACGACTTACAAAGAGACCATAAAAACAACTTGAATTGAATTTAATGAAAGAAAACGTGTATTTTAAAAAACAATTCACAAGTGGTCTGGTGTGTTTTTCAAGTGCAAATAATAAAACTAAGCAACACTCGTACCGAATGGTCATTTTATCCATTTAGGACTTGTCAGTGGTATGAAGGTTTAAAAGAATGAAAATTCAAATAAAAAGTGTTCCGAAAAATACGTAGGCAACAAAAGAAAGGCGTGCCGATTAAACCCCCCATTTTACAACTTTAACTACTCAGATTATTTATTGATTTCATGTAAACCATGCCAGAATAAAGTTTAGCTACAAGGTTACTGTTAATCTCAGGGCTGATAGTCCAGCTACAAGGTTACTGCTAATATCAGGGCTGATAGTCAAGCTACAAGGTACTGCTAAACGCAGGGCTGATAGTCCAGCTACAAGGTTACTGCTAATCTCAGGGCTGATAGTCCAGCTACAAGAATACTGCTAAACTCAGGGCTGATAGTCCAGCTACAAGGTTACTGCTAA